GAAGATGAAGTGGAAAATCAAATATTAGAGTCAAGTGCAACTGTAAAAGTGAAATTTGATGAGTCAACAAAATTAAAATAGTTTAAAACAATTTTGTAAAAACATCATGAATGCATATTGAGCTTCTCTTGACATAAAACTATTCCTGGAGAAAATGTAGAATATCTCATCAATATATTATCATTTTTAAAAAAATATTTAAACTACTAATATATTTTCCAAAATGATATTGGACAATTTCTTGAACTTCTTAGTAGATACCATCTTGTTCCAATTGAAGATATGTACTGGAATGCTGCTGAAGCAATTATGACCACTGTCAGTTAAAAACGCTCCTGCCAAGTGCTAATGTTCCAAAAATTGAACATTGTTAAAACAAAAATTACCACTCAATTGTTTTAATTTTATGGTCTTTATATGCATTTTAGCAAGAATTCACCAAATTTCAAGTAAATTATTTTACACTTCTTCATTTGATATTCAAGCAGTTAAAAACAAGCTTTATATAGATCTTTTTTCGTGATTGGGTCAATGCAAAATGCAGAGTATCTTCTTTATATCCTAAGACTTGTAACCAAGTTTTTAAAATTCCAATAGAATTTTTCTTATTTCGCTTCTTGCACTTTTTTTTTTAAGTCACATGCTATGAGTGCTAAAGAGCTGAATTTAATAAAATATATATTATACTTCAACTTGAACATCTTATCACACAAAAAATTACCTAAGCAATTTTCTTTTTAAAAGATTTTCATTTTTCATTAATTAAGTAAAAAAATTTCAATATACATTCATAATGAATTTTAACTTGTTCCTCTTTCTTTTTAACTTGTTTCTGCTTTTTTACCTTTTCTAAGTCTTTCCTCTATATCTTCATTATTATATCATATAATATATTTCACCAGGTTCTCTGAATTCAAATAGCATAAGGCTCTTTATTTTTCTTTTATCACATGCTACCACTACTAAAGATTTGAATTTAATATACATAATACTTCAATTTGATTATCTTATCATTAAAAACATAACTGAAGCATTTTTTCGTCAAAAATTCTTTATTTTTCGATTAACTAAAAAAACATATATATTCATATTAACTACATAGTCATATTTAATTTCGACTTGTCCCTTTGTGCATTGTTCTCATTCTTTATTAAACTGTTCCTTTTTTTTTATCTCCACTGATATTTCACCAATTTCTGTAAATATATAGGCTGCAAAGCTGTTGTGCTTGTTGAAACAGTGTATAAACTTGTTAACTGTGAAAGTTTTGCCAAGTAGTCTAATCGAGTCTTGAGAAGTTTTGTTTTGATCTGTTTCTCCATATTCCAGGACATTGCTCGAAGATTATTTGAATATACAAACTGAATCTGTTAAGTCCAATAATATGTGACAGTGTAAAAATGTGTTATTGGATGAGCTGAGTATTCAGCAACAGTAGTTGCCTACGACAATCTTATCAAAATCTAATAAATCACTAAAACTGTAATTTTGGAAATATTTTTTATTTATTCACTGAAATATCACAAACTAAAGAAATTAAGTTAAATATAAGTAATTAAATTAATTTTCTTTGCTCTCACACATAGTTTTTTTCCCCTCCATTTTAATAATGTGCTGTTATAATTCAGCTATACTCAGACTTTTAAAATAAAAAACTATTTATATCACACACTTGTAGATAGTTGACCATTTTATGGCAAAAACAAAAATTTATTAAGTTGGAAAAAATAGTTTTTCTGGATTTGTTGATGAAACATAAAAGTTGTAATTTTCGTCATTCCATTAATCCTTTCATTATTACTGAATAGTTTATCGATTATCATGGCTTCCAACTCTTCAAAAAGGAATAGCATGTTATATCATCTATTTAAAAAAATACAATACAGAAGTGGAAAAGCTTTTTAAAGAAATGCAAATCAATAAAATTAACTTCAAAAATCCAGGAACTCAGCTAACAATTCAGATTTAGAAGCTGCTTTGTACAAATGGACTATTCTAAGAAGTAGAGAAGAACCAGTATCTGACAGGCAATAATGCAAGTGAATTGTTGAATAAAATATAATTATCAGAGTTTTTAGGATAAAAATAGACTGAAACACAATGCATATCTATACTGAAGACTTGAATTATTTCATGTTATCTCCACTATCAACTTTTTCTTTTATTATGTAAACTACCATATTATGCAAATTTCTTTCAATAACTTTCCAACCATTCAAAAATTTTCTTCTGAATCACAAGACTTCAATTAATAAATGTATTTCTAAGTCATTTGTTTCTCATAAATAAAGGTCAAAGTTCTTTCTCACATTAAACTTTACAGACTAGTGCAAAGAAGCGTGACATTTCTCTATCATAGCAAATCCCTATGTAAACAGCTTTATTAATAAGTTGAATTCTGACAAATAATTTTTAGTGATTAAATACTACTGAACATATTCATAATTATAATGTATTCATTCGACACTCAATTTTTGCTTCCAATTCTTCACGGAACATCCTCCACTTCAACTATATTTTTCCAACCATTCATTTTATGTGTCTCACAAACATGTTGAAAACTTTAAATCAATGTCATAGCTATAAACTATAAAATACAATAATTATCTACAAGTTGCCAATAGATATTCTCAGTGTTCTCCCTAAGTGTTTTTAAAAGAACACCTGCCCTTTGATTCCTGTAAATGCAACCTACTTGCCCTTTATGTAATAAAAAAAGTCGCCATCCCTTTAAGTCTTTTTTATTTATTTTTTTCAGGAAAAGATTGTTTTCTTCACCACCTATGTGAAACAAAAGTCCATTTCTGATTTGTTTCAGATGATTATTTAACTTCAATTTTTAATTTCATTCCTTCATTTTAGTTAGATTTTTCTTATGTTGTCTGATTTATATATCTCTCGGTCTCGATTTTGGTCTCAGAGATATTGACATCATTCATTTGGGAGGGGGTTATATTAATGAATTTTTTTGTGATTTTAAGTTCTACCATTTAATTTATTTTAATAAATACCTTTATTTAGAAATGCCCTTTCAAATGTTTACTTTCTCATAATTTTCAGTTTAAAATGTAAAAAAAAATATTAAAAAAAAAAGCTTTAAAGTTGTTTATCAATTAATCTCTTTCTTTAGATTACTTTTCTTAGGGAAATTTATACACAGAGATTGTCTTCCAGCTCGACTTAAATTATTTTCAAAAACTTCAACTTTTTTTGTTAATGAGTGATAATTACTTCATAACATATACACATAAAACATTATAAAAAGTTAACTTAAAAATTGAAGATCAAATTCAGTTATTACATAACATTACATATCTTTATAAATTTTAAGTAAGTGCCCTTTCAAAACTCAAAGAGCCCTTTTCTGCAATTAAGCATCCTGCCCTTTTTATTCCTAGGGAGAACTTTGTACTATTAATATATTTTTTACAATCGCTGTTATTGTTGGTATTTTCAAGCTAAGAAAAATTTCACTTAAATTTTTTGAGAATATAAGGACTGCAAAAGTGTTATAGTACAAAGCTTAAAAGAGGTAAAAATAAAACTGTTGTATAATGATGGAATATTGCAAAAATCCTAAAATAAAACATTGGAAACAAAGAGTAATCTTAATTTTTAATATTTTGTTTTGATGTGAGTTTAGTATTCAACATCATGTAGAATTCACCAATTGTTAAAGATCAGTTAGATCAATATTATAAGCTAACTGTATAGCCAATATCTTTTCCAAATTTTTCCAATTCAAAACTTCCGTATGCATATTTCTTAACTTATGTTTTACAAAATTTTCTCGACCTTATTGAATATTAAAATTAGGAAAAAAATTTCAAATGGTGCATTTTCTCTATGCTTCTATCAAAAGCACTTGTAAACCAAAACTAGCATAAGAAGTTTAAAACTTCAAGCCTAATTTAATGTGTAATAAACTTCATTGTATTTTACTTTTTCAAAATTAGCAGCATATGATGACATATTTTTATTATCATAATTTTATTTTTCATAGAAAAATTTGTAAAGTATTATTAAACTTTTGTTTCTAACATGGTTACTTTAACAAAAACGTAAAAGTTTTTAATGTTAAAAAAAACTAAAAAATTGCAATCAAGAGGGTGCAATTAGATCACTTTTATCTGTAATCAAACACGTCTTCAAATAGAGCACTTCATACCGCGAAAGAACTTTCATAGTAATGCCCTACTACATAAAACAACATCTTGGACCAGCAAGTGAACTTAAATACATAGTAAGTTCATAATCTAAAAATTCAAAAATAAACATAAATTATAACATAAGAAAGAAAAAGTTTTCTACTGATGAAATCAAGAATGTAAATAAAAATTAGTTAAGCCATATTTTCAAAACACAGTAAATAATTTTTCATAGGTATGGAGCAAATTATTAAAACTTTCACAAAGAAGAAAAAAAGATTACCTTCTTTAAGTTTTTTGCGCTTGCTGTCAAGTTCTCTGTGTCGAATCTGGGCTGCTTTTCTTGCCTTTAAGACTTTATCATAAGCAGCCTATTTAGAATAAAAGAATTAAATGTATTAAATATATTATATACAGGGTTGGCAAGTTTTTGACACATGACGGTTTTTACCGGTTTATACCATGGTTTTTACCGTCATGTCAAAAACCCATAGTTTTGGTAAAACTGTATTTTTGAGTTTAACTGCTTATAATTTAAAATTAATTCATTTTTGGGCAATAAAATTAGAAAAAAAGTTGTTAAAAGATATTTAAGAACAGATTCTTGCATTGAAACATGATTATATCAAAACATACTATTTGAAGTAAAATATTAGGATACTAAACAAAATTTTCAACATTTCCAAGCATCATTTTGTTTGGCATATTACATTACTGAAGAATGTCAAGTCATTCTTGACTTAGAGTTTATTAGTAGTTACAAGTTTTGAAAGTTTTNAAAACACAGTAAATAATTTTTCATAGGTATGGAGCAAATTATTAAAACTTTCACAAAGAAGAAAAAAAGATTACCTTCTTTAAGTTTTTTGCGCTTGCTGTCAAGTTCTCTGTGTCGAATCTGGGCTGCTTTTCTTGCCTTTAAGACTTTATCATAAGCAGCCTATTTAGAATAAAAGAATTTAATATATTAAATATATATGTATGTGCATATATATATATATAATGAATATTGCTACACTTTCTTTCCCTTTTATATAACTATCTTAAAGTCAATGTAACATCTTACAATAATTTTGAAAAATAAAACTTTTTATCTTTTTGAACTTTTGTGTCATTTCATGCTAGACACAGCATTCTATGTAATCAATGACAAATGATATATTTAAAAACCAACATAAATCAAATTATACAAATTTCATAAATTAAGTTGAATAAAGTATGGCACTATCTTGAATAACAAAATAAGTTTCTTTTCATAAAATATCCATTATGCTTAAGCCTTACCTATGAAAAAATAGATATTGACTGATGTTGAATTTGAAGAAGAGCCTCAGAGCTCATAAAAATCTTGATAGGCTAAATTAAGCCTTACCTATTGAAATACAGAGCTATAAGCAAAAGCAGAGAGCTCATAGAACTTTACTATACTCAATATCCATTATTCTAAACAACAGTAATATTAATTTGAAACGAATATTTTTAATAAGACTTTTTTTTTTCCTTTGAAGCATACCTATTTTTTTTTTTTAAATACACTTTTAATACTTTATTTAATATGGCAACAAACATCAAACACTTCTTAATGTTACATTAGATTAAAATTATTTTTTTTAAGAATTGATCAGATAAAGATAAATTCAACAAACTTTTTTTAAGTCAAATAACTGGTTGACTGTATTTTAGTATAGAACATAAGAATTTTAGAATCTAATTCATCATAAAAATAAAAAAAATCGAACATTGTTAGGATAAATTAGCTAGTCTAGTTCTACTATCAAACATCATTAGATGCATTTATGCTATCAAATATTAAATTCCTTAAATAAATAAAAGGATTGAAAATTTTCTTGAATGAATGAATGAGTAAAATGAAACATAAACAGGAAAATAAATTATTCTTACCCTTGCAGACTTGTCTGTAAGTACTTGTAATGCCTTAGAGAGTTGTTGAAAAAGTTCAGCTACAAAAATAAATAATAAAATTACTTTTTGACAACAATTGGTGAATGAGTCAAAGTGAAAACCCTGAAAATTTTAAGTGCAGAAAAATCGATATTAAGATTTTATTTTATTTACCATATAATGCATATTTCATATTTAATCATATCATGTTTCGTATTTAACACAATTTTTTTGAATAAAATTTCTACCTACAAATGAAGAATATCACACCTTTATAGTAATTAATTTAAGAAAAAACTTAGTTCTCACAATCTCAATGTTGGATTTTCGAGATCCTGTGAATATGAATAGTGATATTGGATTTTAAAAACATGTGAATACAAACCACAATATTGCTCTTTGAAAACATGTGAATACAAATTACGACATTGGATTTTAAATTCACGTGAATACAAATAGCAAAATTGATTTTAAAAATGCATAAATACAAAACACAACAGCGTATTTTTAAACCAGGTGAATACAAATTGCGATGAACAATTCTTTAATCATGTGAATACGAATCACAATGTGTAACTTTTAAATCAGGTAAACACGAAAATCAATTCTTTGTATTCAAACCATGTAAATAAAAATGCGATTTTAGCAGATTCCGGTCAGTTCCAAATATTCAAGATGGCGAAAATCAGCGAAACCAGAAGAATCGAATTGGATTTCTGCCCATAGAACCATGATTTTTATTATGCAACCGTAAGACCGTAATCTCGACCATAAAATCACAATGATAGCAGATAAATTGTAACAGTCGGTGCTGCTGAATCAATACAAAAAATTCACTGTAGTAACAAAATACATACCTGCTTTAGGATTATCAGGATTTTTATCAGGGTGACAGGCTAATGCTTTTTTTCTATAAGCACTTTTTATCTGAAATCAAATAAAATGTATAAGTTAACATAAGTCTCTTTACTTTTATTAATAAAAAATATCTAAAAGAAAGAATTCATAAAATGTTAAACTATAGTTCATTGCAATATATTTAAAACACAAATACTTCGAAATTGCTTAAAATAGGAGTAAAAATTCTTAGAAATTGCTTAAGTTATGGACAATGTTACTAATTAAAACAAATTTTTGGGAAAAAATGTGAATAAAGATGAGAATGAGAGTCATGTTAACATAATCCACTCAATTGTTGGTCAAAGAACAAAAGTATTTTTAAATTAATGCCCGATTCCCTTTTCTGCAAACATTTTCAAAAGATTTTATTTCTCTTTCCAAAGAGGTATTCCATGGGAAGTTTCAATTGTTGTTTTTTTGACAGGTCTCTATGACACATTAAAAAAAATCCGGATGTTTTACTATTCAATTTATTACACGTGAATTTCAAATTACTAATTTGATTATTTACTTAGATTATTTTTAACGTCAAGATTCCACAGTTTTTTTTCCCGACTTTTCGGCAGTTATTGCTAGTGCTACCAATTTCCCAGGGTCCTGGTTATTTCACAGTTGATATTATTTCTAACAAATAAAATTTTAATTGCACATTTAAATAATCAATTTTTGATCTGCTCAATATACACTGATATAAATCCATGTAGTGTTTCCATTGCATTTTTGGTAGTTATATATTGATTTTTACCTAGTATTTAAATTTTCTGATATATTTCAGACAATGTGGGAGGTTCCACCCTGCATTTTAGAATTTATTTTTTAACGCAATGATTCTACTTTCTTTTTTACATTGCTATTGGTTTTCACATAGCTTTTAAAATTTTATTTATTTAATACGATATTATTTATTACAGCGGAAACAAACCACATATTTGAGTAACTCCTTTTTTAATAGTCCGATTCACAAGATTCCTTCTTGATCTTTTTTCATTATTTACGGCGGATTTCACAATTTTTAATTTTTTTTTTTAAGGGATGATGATTCACAAAATATCGCTCATAATCGTAAAATAAAAAAATATTACATTCTTCAATTAAAAAACTACAAATAGTCTTTTCTCTCTTTTATAAACATAGCACTTTTGTTACTTTAAATTAGTAACACATATATTAGTCATATTAAAAGTATCTTGCAGAAAGATAATAGTGCTAAAGAGTTTTGTTGCAGAAAGTTCGAAAAAATTCTGCCACAGGGTTAACAAAACAAATAAGTAGATTAAAATTTATTCAAAATATTCGTTAGAGGCTCTTACTTAATGAGCTCTTTTTTTTTACGATCTCTGAAAAAAATCTATAACCTAATGTTGCAGTCAGAGTGCATTAGAGACAATGATATCAATAATTTATTTTTAGAGTTGAAAGATTAGGGGGGAAAAAATGATTTTAGAAAAAACTAGGCATCTCAAACAAAGAAACCTCTTCTTATCCTTTCAAGCTAACTAATTTTTATGATGTAAAATTAAATACAAATTTAAACACTAAACATATATTGCTTAATTATTTAAAATAGTTCTATAATTCATTATTGGTAAATTTGTTTTTACACATAATTATATCCATTCACTTCAAAATGTCAGTAGGGTTCTTTTTTACTGACGCGAAATTTTGTGCATCAATCGGGTGCTTATAATGCCAACACAAGTGGCGTTTTCGCACCAAGAAAATGACACTAACTGAAACTTAAAATGGGGAGATTTCCGTATCGTGATCTGTGGCAGAATAATAACCAAGTCTAGGAAACTTCTGGGCACAGGCCCGCGAGAAACTAAAAAAAAGATCACAGAAAGACCCAACTCGAAAGGTATAACTCGCAGTCACCCCCGGGCAGAGAGGATATTTCCGTTTCGTGATCTGCCGCGCCAACTACAATTGCCAAGGTGCCAAATAGATTTCAGACATGCTTTTTAAGAAAAAAAATATGTAGATGTTTGCCCGGGGGTGGCTACAAGTTATACCTTTCGAGTTAGTCCCTTTCTATGCTGTTTTTTTTAAGTTTCTAGCGGGACATTGCCCGGAAGTTTCTAAGACTTGGCAATTATTCTGACGCAGATCATGATACGGAAATCATACCCCCGGGCAAATATCTACATGTTGTTTTAGAAAAAATTTCAAGTTTTAACTCTATTTGGCACCTTGGCGATTGTAGTTGGTGCAACTACGAACTAGCTTGTTTTTAAGATGAAGTGCACTACGCTGTCACAATAAAATTTAATTGTAATTGAAAAAAATTGGAAAAATTAAGATTAACGAGCCCCTCTTATTTTGGTGATTTTTCTGTCTGAAAACAAAGAAAATGACTGAGAAGTGAAATTTTTAAAATGACCAAGTATCCCCAACAAAATGGCAATTTAAATAAAAAGAAAGTGAACCAGGGGCCCCCACCAGGGGGGAAGTGGGCACAGGATGCGCCCACTTAAAGCTAGGGGGGGAATTTTTACACTAAATAAAACGAATAGTTTGGGGGGGGGTATTTAGAATTTGCCCAAGAATGCGCCCAAGAGCTTGGGGATGCCACTGAAGTGAACGATTTTATACGCAATTAAAGCTCCAGGTTAGACTGCCTCATAAAAATGCGACCCTATTCTACACTGTAAGCAAAAAAAAATTTTTTTATTGATACACACTTTTAAAACCTATAAGAGAGTAAAAATTCATTATTAAAAGTATAAAAATAATCGCCTAAAATATCATACGTAAAATATTCATTAAAAACAGCCTAGTGGCAAATATTAATAAATGCTTACTTCTTTTTCTTCGGCAGTTGAACTTATATTCAATAAATCATAAAGATCCAGTTTCATTAATTCCTCCATGTTTAAACAGATGCGAAGTTTTAATCGAATTTACAAAGAAACCAAATATGTTTTTATTCTAAAAAAAAATTTTATTTTACACGGCTAGAATTATTTCGCCTTTTTATAATTTATTGCATTAGGAACATTTCCTGCTTTTAATTTCTGCCCGTTAATATTCTGCCCAATAACTATAACTGAATGCAGATTTTAGCTTACATATAATATTTTTAACTGTTCATAATCGAACATGGTGTATTAGTGACAAACTGTTTTAGGATGAAATTCAGTGTAAATTTTTTAAACTGAATCCTTGCAATTCGTTTAACATTTATGAGCTGTCTTGTGCTATTTTGAGCTAGAACAAGGACGAATTTACGAACTAAGAATTGAATTGTATATTATCAATACGCAAGAAGATAAGAAAAATAAATAGATTTATGATATTGAATGAATTCTAATTTTTACTATTTAAAATGCCCTACGTTGTGATATCTACACAAATAAGAGTGGTATGGAAACTGTTTTTTAATTAATTCTTTCTATTTTGTGAATTGGTTATGGCATGTTATTTATTTTTGCTGATTACTATTACAACTGAAGGAAATAGTATTTACTATTAATACGGGAAATTTTCAGTATTCTTGATTACATTAGCTCACTTGTAGCATTTTAAGGAGAATATTTCTTTATCGTGTCCTGTCTCACAATCGCCAAGGCACCCAATGAATTTTAAACTTGCAAATTTAAAAATAAATAAAAAGGAAAACATTGAAAGTAAAATAAATACATGAAACGTACGTAATAAAAACTTAAAACCGCCCACGAGAAACTAAAAAAGAAAACATCACAGAAAGGGACCAGCTTGAAAGGTATAACTTGTAACCACACCCGGGCAACCTGCGTTTGAAGTCTAGCATTTTATCATGGAACAGTTAAACAAGGACTGATACACACTCTTGGTCTCATCACATTCTGATTAAAAGGTCACCTACCCTTTCATTGACCACTGCCAGTGATGTCTAACTTCAATGATGTTTTAGGAACCATGTTTTAAGTAAAGGAGGGAAAAAAACAAAAATGACACCTTAGAATGACTGATTTTTTTAGAAAATGGATGGAACAAGTTGCTGCTAAACATTTCTGTAACTCTGACTAAACACTCTTATTTAAATTTAAATAAATTTCCATCTGTAACGCTGTAGTTTTGATTCCGATATCTGATGGTTGTGAACATGATAATCTAAAAAATTTCAATGTTATCATGTATAAAAAGGTTCTAAATTTGATTTCAAAAATCGGTGGACATAATGCAATAAATTTTTAAGACTTTCAAATGTCTTGAAGCTTTGAAGTCTCAAATATTTTATCATTGTCCATATTTGAGACATTGATGTTTGGTCATTGATGTTTGGTTTGCTGTAAAATATGTCTGTCCAATTCCGCAGGCAAGGTTTGAAAGAAATTCAGACAGCCCTGAGAAAATGTTTGCACTAATTTTTAAAAAGTCTGAACAAAAAAACTCTATATTTTTGAAGGAAATTTCAAACTAAAAAATTTGTGCTCTGGTGTAATTTTAGGCTCTGAGAATTTTCTGGAGCCCTGGCTGGACTTAATTAACAGTTTTAACTCACTACAGCTATTTAATTTTTTACTCTATTTACTTATTAATCTATATTCAATTTCCTTAACATATTCTTTTTTTTCTTTATCTGTATAATAAAAATTTCAAATTCAAAATATTTTTGGAATTCCTTTAACAAATTTACGTTGTTTTAACTACCACATTAAACTTTTAAATTAATTCTTGTTTAAACATAATTTATTTTAAATTTCTTTCAATATTTTTTTATTTACAGGAAAGTGGCCCAACTATAGTGGGTGATGAGCAAGCAGATCCTGAGCTTATGAAATATTTAGGTGCTGAATTGGTTGTGCAGTTAGGAAACAATTTGTAAGCTGCAATTTGTTCAGATTTTACTCACATTTCAATTTATCTTTGGTTCAGACATGTTTCAGCAAAAGAGGAACAAATCTATACAACGTTATAGAAAATTTGATTTATAAAAGATAAGATATTTTAAGTTCATTAATCAAATATATGATATAGGATTAGGAAAGTTAAAAATAACTTATTTAACATTCAAATAAATTATTCACTGTTAAAAAATTATGGAATAAAGAGATTCTACCCTGCCGAATTGAGAACTTTAATTGATGCCATATCTAATACTGCAAGGGGGAAACAGACCCAAGCATTCAGCTTAAGCAGTTTTTATTTATTTAACAACCAAGGATTCTAAAACTTTAAATATATTTGGAATATTTTTATTTTAAAATTATTTTTTTAATAAATAAATGTTCGGCTTTGGCAAATATTTTATGTAGAATCAAATATGATTTTAAAACAAATTTAATAAAGAGGTGTTTGGCCATTAAAATCTAAATTTTCTTTACTATAAGAAAATTTTAAAAATAATTTGTTGAAAATAACATTTCTTTACTATAGAACAAATCTTACCTACATTTATATCAAAATGAATTTAAATTATGAATTTTGATAAATATATATATTTTTAATGTTTTTTTAAATAAGCTTTTTTTCTACTAATGTAATACATAATAGGGTTTTTTTTCTACTCCTGTAATAATACTCCATTTTTTAGGAGTATCTAATTATGAACCTGCCTAAGCATCCTAAGCAAATCTGTGTGGCCTGTGTTATTTCATATCAAACAAAGACTTAACAACAAAGACTGCTTAAAATAATTATTTGCTGAAATTTCTATTTAATTCTACCTGCATAAATAGCATTTTATTCAAAATATGCTTTATTTTGTTTGTTTTTTTTAAAAAAAATATGTTCCTTATTATATATAGTAGAACAATAAATTATAGTAAAAATGATTTTCATAAAATAGGAAATTAAAACCAAAAATTATTTCAAATATGAAACATTATCCTAGCCATTTAATTTTGTTGCTTTAATTCATTTATCATCTTTTGTAACTAAGCCTATTTCTAAAAAATAAATCTAATTTTTTTAATGCATTTTTTTCCTGAACTTGTTTTTATTCTGTTTAACTTCAGTGTTCATCATATCTAAAAGTATGTGACATTTCAAACATTATTACAGCATTGAAAGAATTAGTCATGTTTATTATACTTATTTTGGAGTTTAAAAAAATCTATTGTTATGTGTTTTAGAAAATACTATTTACCTGTAGTTACTCTCTATATATAAATATGATGCATTGTACATGGTCAAAGATACAACAAACACACAAAAAAAAATTTATTACATTTCATTAGTGAGGTATATCAGAGAATCATGCTATCCACAGAAAATCTTGAATTATTCACTTTTCTGCATGTATCTTTTCTAGGAATATCTAGAGAAAATGTTCTAATATACTCCCTAATAGTATCAAAACACATGATGAAGGGGAAAAATTAAGTATTTTGAATTCTTTTTGTGAAAGTCAGCCTGGCTAAAGTATGACCTCCACTTTATGTATGCAAATGTATATATTGATTTATTATTTTCTTGATTAAATTATGTTAATGGGTAGAATCAATCCCTTATTGTTGTGTTCCTCGCATTATTGCAATGAATCAGCTAGGAGGCTGAGCGTTCAACGTACCTGACTATGAAGCAGATAGTTGCAAGTTTGGATCCCGCTCTTGGTATGGATGTTTCTCTTTGTTGTTTGAATGTGTATTACCCTATGAACAGGCATATTTTGTGGCGTGGGTAATGTTGCTCGCCTCTGCAAAGTAGGTTCATAGGTGCCCACTGTTTAGCATTAATTGAGAAACAGTTCTGGAATCGTCAGAAGCGAAGAACAAAAAGTTCAGTGCCTGCCGTTATAAAAAAAATCTATTGTATTGATATATTTTGCTTTGGTAATATTAATACAATAAAAGAACGCACTCATTTTTGCAGATATAAGTGTGTTGAGAAAGAGGTTATATCTTTTCGTAGTTAATTTGTCTTTATTTTTATATAAATTTTAAATTCTTTTTTTAGTTATTATTTTATTTGTGCATACATGTAGATTATGTGTGACTATTTTTTTTTCTCTTGTAGCCAGGAATATCGATCTGCTGATCCACCAAGAGTTATTTTAGACAAACTGGAGCTTAGAGGTTACAGAGTAGTTGCTATGGCAGGTATTGGCCAGACATGTATTTGGACTCTGAACAAGCCCCCTGAGTTTGCTTAATAATATACATGATTTGAATATTGTGTAAACCTATACTCTAGACAAGGAAAAATAAGGGCTAATAATGATAATCAAACCGTATTTCTAGATGCATAACTATAGATGTAGAGAAAATGTTTTCTATAGGATACACTAGTGTATTATTGTACTATTGCAAATGTATAACATAATTTATGTATTTGTTTTTATTACTTTATTGTTAGTTAATCGATTAACTAGTTTTATAATATGCTTACGGATAGAAAATGATAATTTAAAACGTATGTAGAATTCTTTATTAATTTATTTTAAGCTTATTTACTGACATATACATATCTCTATAGGATTAAATTCCATTTTTTTAACACAAGTACATATTTTTAGTTTGTAATTTTAAATTGCTGAGAATACTAATCTTTTGAGAGTTTTTGTTAGAAAGTATTTTATACGTGATATTTAAAAGTATTTTTATCCAGAGTAACCAGTTAGAGTAGTTATTTTATTATCATTATTATTTTGTAAAATTTACTAATTATGTATTAAAATTTACATAGTACTGGTGAATATGATGCTCAAAGGATCTTCACTAAAATTATATGATTTATTATTTAATTCAAAATAATTTTTAAATTAAAATTGCCAACTACTTTTTAAAAGTTTGAATTCTCTTTATCTACAGAAGAGGTTCCCAAATAGTGTTCCATGGAACCATAGGATTCTGTGGAAAAGTCACTGCGGTTCCAACAATTAAGAATTTATTTCATCAATTTTGATTTTTGAAACCTATAATTAAATTAAAATTGCCAATTAATAGACCTGTAATTAGGTTAAAATTGCTATTTTAACCTAATAATTCATTATTTATTTAATATTTCTGTTATTTTTATGTAATTATTTAATTGAAGTACTTGTAAAGAAAGAAATTTCCAAACAATATTTTTAACAAAAATAACAAAATTCTATTATTATTTTGCATCGAGTTAAAATAGCCAAATTTAAGAATAAAGGAGTATATTTTTCTGATAACCATTCTCAATGTTTATTTTCTTCCTTTTTTGTTTTTATTTGATGGAAATCATATCATTAATCTTTTTTCTTCTTCTTATCAATAAATGAATATTCTTCATCAATGAATATTCTTCTTATCAATAAATTAAAATAAATAATTATTTTTTAAGAAAATGGGTTTTACTTTTTCAACCTTAGATTTTAATGATTGTTAGTTGAGGAAAGTGTAAAACACTTTGTTTCTCATTCTGTTAATAGGTATTCTTCTAAATTATAATTTTAAAAAATTAACACTATTTAATAAATGTCTAATTAACAATAAATGAGATTTAAGTAATATTCAGTATTATTTATAGTATGTTTTAATAAATGGGATTGGTGGATATTTAATTTTATGAATATTTAATTTTATAATCAGTACAAATTTTAACCAATGATTCTTACTTTGGGCAGATGTAACAAGATTTGTTTCTTACTTTTCTTATGAACATTCTTAAATTTGTTTTAAGTAGTTGTTTAAAGAAATTTTGGTTGTGACAATTTAGACTTTAATTATTGTTAGTATATATAATAATATAAAATGTTCATTTTAAAAATGTTCAATGAAATATTTTTACTATCTTATTGATTAAAGATTTAGTCATAAAATAAATAGTTTTCATGAATAATGGAAAACAAATTATTTAATTTTATCATTTTATTTTTTAATGTATCAAAACTTGCATATTTAATTTACAATTCGGTTTCAGTAACAATAGCAAATGTTTTGTTTTTAGAATTGTTTATAGATATATATATGTAATACTCTGAGATTTATATTTTTTATATTCTAAGATCTCTAGTTTGAAGTATGTATATTACTGGATAAAAATGTATTCTTGTAAAGTATAAACATTTTCTGTGTGTTTATAAATATCATGCAATGTTTGTATGAAGTATGTTTTTTATAATTTAAAAATTATGTTTAAGAAATTGTTGTATCTTAGATTAATATGATTATAGCATACCTTTTAAAAAAGTGAAACAGTATAAATAGCTAAGAAATCTTATAAAATGTTACTATATTTTTTATACTGTAGATATTATAAAAGAATGTTACCGAAGTAGTGAAAAATTGTATTTTATATGTTTGAGATTATTTACTATACATTTTATACATTATTATAATTTACTTTTTATTTTTATTGTTTAGTTGCCTTAGAAATCGTATACTAAAGCATTAAAAAAAATTCATTTGCCTGTAATACAATTATTTTGTAAATTACAACTATCTATGCTGTCAATTGATTGGAAGATCTCTTTTTAACAATTGTCCCTCCACTATAAATTCCATTTAAAATTTGCCATAGAGGGGCATTTAAATATCATTTTAATATTTCTTTCAACATGTTCCTCCCCTATTCAGTTTTTTGTTGAGAGACATTTTAAATGGCATTTCTAAATCACTTGAATTTTTGAGTTACAGTAGAGAAATCTGGCTGTAAGAGCAAACATTAGTTTAGTTTAAATAGGGCAAGGCAGTTACATTCAAATGAAAAAAAGATGCAGTAAAACTTCACTAATCTGAACCAGTTATGTTCATTGCTTGTTTTGATTAATCCAAAAATTCTGATTGTAATTAATGTTTCACTCGACTTGTAAAATAATTAAGTATAAAGGTATAAAAATTTGAATTTTTTCCGATGCTAAATTGTTTTAAAGATGAAAGGTTAATGTGTTATTAATTTATCTCTTTCAAACTAAATTGTTGCTTTACCATTGTTTCCCACCGAATTGTGTTACTTTCCCATTTAAACTACATGCTCAATGTACCCTTTATATAATTTTTTAAATATTCACTTGAACCAAAAGAAATTATGTAAACTTATTTTATCAACAAATTTCTCCAGATTTTCACCTTAATTAAAATTCATATTTTATCTTCCTATTCTTTTATTCAATTTTTAAGAAATAAAAACTCTCTTTTTAAAAAAAAGGCTTTTAAGAATATTTTTACAAAGATTCTTTTCAATTATAATTTTGGAGAAGTAATATCAGTTCTAATTATTTTGAATTTCCAGAATTCGAATTTTTCGGGTTCTACTGATTCTCAAAGCATACTCTGCTTATAAAGTCTTTAACTAAAACTATTTTATGTCTTGCATATTTTTCTTTACAGCCTAATAATGTAAATAATATGTTACACTAAATTTAATAACATTTATAATGTTTAGACTAAATTTAATTGCAGATAATAATAAAAAAGATTTAATTGCAGAGATAATTTTAATAGTAGTATACATTGTGTGTGCAATAAATTTTCACTTTCTTATGCATGTAAAATAATACCAAAACTCAAAAGAAAAATTTCTCTGTTTTTCATTTATTTTTCAGTTTAACTAACTGCATTTAAGCAGTGCATTTATATTTTTTACTTTTTATAAGATCTTAGTTAAGATAATTCTCATATTTACAACTTGTCTAATAATTTTTATTTTTTGTATTATAGTTATGAAACTTTTGTAGTTTTTACAAAAAAAAATTATATACATAAATATGATATCTAAGTGCTAAAAGAAACTCATGTATAAGCTTATTTAAGAAACAGAACAAATTAAACTATTAAAATTTAATAGTGAGCTTTGTGAATGTAAAAAAAATAATCTTCCGTTAGTTGTAGAGCTGAATGGGTAAAATTGTACAAAAAATTGCTAGTCAACCAATGTTTCTCTCTTTGCATAGAGAAAAAAAAATTTCCATACTTTTGTTTATATGTTTAAAATTAAGAGACAAGTTTTAAAATCATGTGTAAACTGTTGCTCCTAAATTAGTCTTCCTTTATAAATTAAAAATTTTTTTACTAAATATGTAATTTGTTTTTTGCGAACTTTTTATTTACTGTAAAGAAACTTGTTTTGTTTTTACATGCATATTTATTCAAATATACATGATTGGAACAGCTGCTCAAATTGCACAAAATGAAATTTCTGCACCAGCCTGCTACAAAACTCTAACAATATTCATTGTGCAAAAAGCACAAATTTGGGTCAATTTTGCACACAATTTGTGCACAAAAGTCAGTTTTGTTTGCTCCGAAAGAGTCATGCTGCTGTTCCATCCCTAAATATGAAATTATTAAGAAATGTCTGGAATGTGTCTTAACTATTGTGTGTATATTTGAATAATATATATTTTGTATTTGATATTTATACATGTGTTAAATGGAAGTTCTACGCTAAAAAAAAGTACTTAACTGAGTAAAAATATTGCCATAATAAGTACAATCCCATTGATGATTTAACTACTCAGCACGGATTGACAAACTATCTACATTCGTGTCAAATATTTAGAAAAACATTTCATCTTTTAATGCTACAATTTAGAACTTATGATGAATATTCATAAAGAACAACATCAGCCACTGATGTAGATCTTCGTTAATTAAAAAAGATTGCTAACATGCTAAAAATTCTAATTGATATGAACTTCTTTCTTCACTTTTGAGAAACCTTTCAAATACAATTCTTAATGATTGCTTCTCAGCATTTCTCAATTTCCAATAATCGCAAAATATTCTTAACTCAAAGTGTTTCTTTAAAAGAAAAAAAAATTAGAATAAATTAGTTAACATTTGATTTCACTATAAATAGTTTGTCAAAAATGCAATTCAATGAAGCTAATATAACAAATTTGACTTCTGCATATTTTAGAAAAATTTTGTAATTTTTGTTGACAGAAGTTGCAAACATTACCAATTAAAAGTTTTAAAGAAACAATATTAAACCTTATTATTTACGTTGCAATTTTAAATCTATCTTACAGTCAGTCAACAATCCTAGGTATTAGTATGAAAATAAAATATAAAAAAGGTAAAGCTAATGGCAGCAGATGCTTCCACATCAGAATTCTATGACTTTCGAAACCAATATTTGAAGTTAAATGTATAATGTTAACTTTTAGCTCCAAATTTGGAATTTACAATATTAATAATAAAATTGCTTTTTATTTGTTTAGTGCTTCCATGATTTTTTTTAATTTTTCTCAAACCATTTATTTATAAAGTAAAATATAATGTTCAGTTTATTTATTTTATGGTGGTTGTTATTGATAACTTTTAGTTATAGTTGGTTATATTTTTAGTCATGTTTTATATGAAAAGTAAACAGTATATTAGCAAAAGATCTTTTTTATATATATTTTTAGAGTTTTTATCTTTAGTTATGCATTGTTATTTAGTTTTTATATAACTAAAAATGTTTCTATTGTTTAAACGACAAATGTCCTATTTTTATAAATTTGTTATTGTATTTAGAAAGAAGTATTTATCTAAAATAAATCTTATTCACATAAAATGACGTGGATAAATTTGAAGAAGAAAAAAATTAAACCCTTTAATACTGTGGTTCTTAAGAGTCCTCGGCATCTTGGATTTTATGTAAAATTTTTGATTTGGATATATATATTTGTACTTCACAAATCATAGATGATATAGTATTATTCAACAGCACAATACCTTTTAAAGAGTTGAAAAATAAAGAGTTCTCAATATTAGATCAGGATAAATAGCGCCTGATAATCTATAATACTATGAATTTTTCCTCAAAATTTTAAAGCAATAAAATTATGCGATTTGTGGTTTTGAGAAAGTAATTTAAAACTTCACATGTGTCAGCTTTTGGATTTTTCAAAATTTAATTTTATTATAGTTTAAATTGATTGAAACCGATTAGGATAATGCTAAAAAAATTCCTATAAAGCTAATAGCACAAAAAAATTTGATATTTATAAAAAATCTGAAAACAGATAACTGCATACATTTTAAATGCTTTTAAAAAACTTCTGAATGCAGAATTGTATTGTCTATTTTGTCAGAGAAAATTTTTATTTTATTGTATAACCGTCGTCGAATAGCCGACCCAATTTTTGAGGTTTGCGACTACTAATGTTTAACTCTGTAGCCTTGTAATTTTGAACCCAATCCAGAAGACAAGGAAACTTCTGGATACAACTATTGGGGAAACTTGTCTTCGTGGAGGACTTTTTGATGGAACTAACTCGCATTTGCGTTACATGGAGAGGAAAACCTCCCACAGTTAGCCTGATGGCAAGGGAGCTCTAACCCATAATCCATCTTTCACTGATGATATTTTACGTCAGCATTAGTCGGTGCTAGCCGGATACGGAATTCGAGCCCCTGAACCATCACGGCTGTCAGAGAAAATTAAACGAGAATTTAAAATACCGCTCTCTTTATATCTCAAATTCTGATTGGGTGGCGGCCTTGTATATTACATGAATCGAAAGATACTGTTGAGCACAGTAAATTTAATTAAGAGGGATAAAATAATATTTAAATTTTTCTCCCCCACCCGACCCTCTTGGTAGTTGATTTCGGTTACGAGACTCCTCTGACGTAGGAGTGGAGACGAGAGGGGAAAATACATAAAGTGTGCAGTAATTTCGATTCTCTAAATTTTTTCTGGCAAAATTATACCTATACTGTTCTGCAATCAGAAGTTTTTGAAAAGTAGTTAAAAACAGCATACCTTTGCGTTTATTTATTTAGATTTTTGATAAATATTTTTTTTTGTGCAATTAACGTTATAATTTTTTAAGCATCGATCATCCTAAGTCGGTTTTCATTACCGTAAACTGTAATAAACATATATACATATTTTAAAAAACCTGAAAATTGACAAATGCATAATTTTAAATGATCACTAGTAACCACAAATCGTATATTTTTATTGCTTTTAGTTGAGAGAAAAATTCCCTAGAGGTTCTAAAAATTATTAGGCGCTATTTCTCCTCATCTAATTAACCGTTTGAGTGCGGCGAAGCGCTATCGCGCTTCGCTTGTTGTGTACCGAAAATGCGGAGACGCTGCTGTTGGTTGTTAGTAGTTGGTTAGTAGTGTTGTACGCATATTATTCCGCGCTATTAGCATATATATATAAGAAAACTCTTCAGCACTCAAGTGGTTAAATGACCTCTTTATTTTTCCTTTTTTTTCAGACGATATTTTGTGGTCGAATAATGTTATATCATCAAAAGTTCGTCAAACACAAGAAAAGGAAAAATTAAACCTTAAATTCAAGATGGCGAGGGTAGGGGAACCATTATTGGTCTGTGTAAAAGTTCCAAGTTGCCTTTTTTTAAATGAAAAAATTGTTTATATCATTGTTAAAAAATGATATCAAAAAATTTTATTTCTCAAGTTATGAAATTTTGCTGGAATATTTAGTTTGTGGGAAGAAAAAAGGATTTAAACACTGAAAACATGCTTATTGTAAAATTTCAAAACCTAGACATGCTTAATTTATTTTGATATGAATCCAAAGTCTAAAATGTTTTTATAGTTGTAAATGTTACTGATGTTTAGATTTTAAAGTGGCCTGCAAGTAAACTTTTAGTGGAATTGTGATATCTAAGGGGAATTGGAATCCACTACTATATTAAAAAAAAGACTTAATTTAGGATTAAAACCACTAAGATATTTAAGTCATGCAGAAAATGGATGACACAAATACTGCCACAGCTCGGACATGGTTCACATATTATTTAAGAAAAAAAAACAGATGGTGCATTAGTTAAATATCATGCCCAGCAAAATCGAGGCACTTCGACCACTTGGCTGGGAAATCCTGGAAACGCTACGTATAGTGTGGTAATTATAGCAACAACAACAAAAAAAGTTCCTACGGAAAAATTGATACCCAAAATTAATTATAAACAATGGCTGAAAAATCACGAGACGATCGGTCAAATAGTTTGGAAGTTAAAAGGGTTTTATGCACAAAAAAAGTACTATTTTGTACTTGTACCAATTTATGCATCTGGCATTGCTTTCTAGACAAGTGAGGAAATAATTTTTCACGCCGAGTCGAATGAAACTACACGAGTCAAGAGAATTAATAGTCACAAGTTTTTATATATGAGCGTGCAAGATAATGTGGTAACTTACATAAAGAATTACTCAATATACACATTAATATACATATCGCTTCTTTCATAATTGCAATGGAAAATATAGCGCTTAAGTAGGTATTTATTGTGGATAGAAACTTTTATGGGTCTGGTTGGCAGAGCGTTGAACTCAACTCCGTGAGAGCGGGAGTTCGAAGCCAGACGACCGAAGACTCCTCGTGCACGTTAAGTCTGTCGGGTCACAAAGTCCTCCATGTTCCCATAACGAATTATACCTCTGGGGGTACTGAATTGGAGATGGATCATTTTCTGGTACAGGTCAAAATTACGATCTGTGGATGAACGAATGGGTTTGCCCTATAAATGGGTGTTGCAGAAGTCGAATTCGTGGCCATAGATGGCGCCACAGGAAACCGAGAACAATCGAACCCTTTGCCTCAATAGCCTACGACAACAGAAACTTATACTTCCAGATTTCTACCGATTCGTCCTTGTATCCTTTCAGATGACATTAACATTTCATTATTCACCTTTATCTTGGATAAGCAAATTATTTGTATTCACCATATTTATAACAAAAACTTTTATGGTAATAAGGAATTATTTTTAGTGGAAGATAATTTTTCACTTAGTGCGAAATACAATCGGAATTTATTACCCATTTGCAAAATGGTTGTTTTGGGTTTGATGGCGAGCATGTGGATGTCATCACACATTTCAGCCTTAGCACCTATCGAATTGTCTATTAGGTTGACGAAGATTGCAATAGATAAAAACTTGAAATTGCTAATATATCAATTATTTACTTATGCTATAAATATCATTGGGAAATCTTCAGGCCGCAAGTACCGTTATACGAAGCGTATTCTAAGTACCCCCACTGATATGTTAATAATGCGAGTCTCTGGCGGTCCTAGAATATCTAGCTTAGTTTGTTTCCATGGTATCATGTCTGTTAATTTGTTGCTTCGCATCTGTTTCTCCTCGCCACTTTACAATATNGGAAAAATCTGAGAAAAAGCGGAAATCTGCGGAAGAATCTCATCCCTGTAATTTGTTGCTTCGCATGTTTCTCATCTCGCCACTTTACAAGATCAGTTTGAATCTTCGCAGAGTAAAGAGGAGCATAATTTAAATTCTTTAATTAGTTAAAATTTCGAAAAGAAAAAGTTATTTCTATGAGAGTCAAATAGCCGTGAACAAGTAAGCTTTCACGAGACTCGCAATCATTTTTGTATTACTTTTATAACAATTCAATAGTTTTGTTGCTTCCTGTGAAATATCTTTTTAAATATATACAAATATCCTTCACAAGTAGTCAAATCAACATCACCCCAATATTGGTGACGCAGCCTGATCAGAAACTTTGCTGTCACCCAAATATGGGTATCATGGCAGTCAATGTGTTAAATTATATGCTGCTAGAACTCCCTGAAAGTAGAGGTAGCACTTTTTTCTGCAGAACATGACTGCTTGCACTGGCTCAATTAAATTACCCTTTCCTGCGCATACAAGATTTCGAATGCTATCCACACTTTTATTATCTATTTTTCTATTGATGTTTTACAATTCAATTCTGAACACTGAATGCGGACAAAAATTTAAAAAATGGAAAGATTACCAACTCAGTTGATTGTGACTTTTTGATGTTGTGTGATAAGCATTATAACTCTATAAATTTACCCTTTCAGAAACTATTAAGTTAAATACAATTAATTTTGCCTTTTCTCAGCACCAAGGTTTTTATAGAAATTTTTCTTTTAAAATGACAGTCAGAAAAAATTTATAAAAAGTTAACCATTTAAGAATATTTCCATAAGATAAAAAATTAAGATTCCAGATAATCTGTGTCACATTTAATACAACGTTAGCAGTGGTTGTCATACTAATCACACTCTATCCTTAATCTGCAAAGCCTCACAAAAAATAGTCACCCCACCCAAAAAATGCGTAATTCTGCACTTTATTTTCATTTTTCTTTGTCAGTGGTTACTTTATAAATCAAACATACCAGAAATTTACACAGGGATAAATGACAATTATCTTTAAATTCTACAAAAACCTAATAACTTGAATGCAGACTTCATTCTACAGCAGGAAAGAACTCTTAGCATATTTCAGTTTTTAAATAACTAGGAAGTATTTAAAGTTATTATATAACTTAAAATATAATGAATGTAAAGTTTTGAAACTAACTTTCTTCCTATAAGTCTTATGACCATCTTCTCACATGATACTTATAAAATGCTGCGTTCTAAAAAAATTTTTTTAACCGGAAGATCACTAAAAATTTTGAAGAAAAAAAATTAAGATCTGAAATCACTTATGTAAAAATTAGGGAAGTATATTATTTATAAATGTTACTATTTTTCGCTTTTGATAGGACAATTTGTCCCTGCAGCAGGTAATATATCAACCCTGAATTGTTTTCACAATTTATATCATATAAAGAATAAAAATACTTTTCATAAGTATCTTGTGTTACAAGTTTCAAAACCAAGTTATAATTTATTAATATTAAAGTTAGTTTTTATGAGATATGCATATAGAGTACAGTAAAAAGAAAAATTAACAAGTCAATATACATTTGTTGCTGATTTATTTAAGCTCCTTTTTTACACCATTACAAAATACAATGAAAAAAAAATGACTAAATATTTCATCCTAAAACAAAAAGGGGTAAAGATGTTTTGTGATACCCCTAGATTTTCTCATGGAAGAAAATCAAATTACAAATATGTAGTTCCAAAAAAGCTAGACAAAAACAATTTTTAAAACGCAGAAAGTCTGAAAAAGCATATTCCTCATCGGGATGCATTGGGTAACAAGGTATGATACAATTAAAACAAAGAAAAGAATATCACAAATATCAATGTATATGTGCTAGACATAGAATTAGCAAAAAAAAAAAAAAAAAAAGATTATATGGCATCTATATCCAAATCATCATCCTCATTATCAGCGGCAGAGACTTCTTTCTTTACAGGTTTAGGTGCCTCTTTTTCCACACTTATTGATGTGCTGATGTGACGATCAGAATAAACAACCTGTTTGGAAAAAGAATATAAATATATCATTCCAATTAAGAAAACCTCTGCCTTGGTATTCATTTCAGGTTAATTAAAACTCAATTCCAATATTGTCAATAAATTACACAGCAGAAAATGAGTATATAAGGAAATTTTTCAAAAAGAGATGGTTTGTATTCTCTTGCCAGATCACAAATAGTACTAATGAAAATAGTTTTTTTTTTTTTTTTACTTACAATTTTCTTAAGTACAAATCCCAAAAAACTTCAATAACAATTGATAATTAAATTTATTAATCACTTATATTTTTATTCCTATATTAATATTTATAGAAATAACAAATTATCAGATCAGTACAATGTTGTTCTTTATATTTCGTGAATACAGTGCACTCCCGATTATCCGGGTTTATCACCGGTACAGGTCGCACTGACAATCAAAAAGCATGGATAGTCCGAAAACTCCTTTAAAGAAAAAATCAATATCAGTACAAAAAATATAAAAATTACTGACATTTGCATGCTGTATAACATCAAACTAGGAATTTTCCTTTTAAAAAAATGTGTAATGCGTCTTCGTCATATATTGATACACATGTTTTACGAACCGCAGTAATGTCACCGTAATCAAATCCTCCCATATAATCTAATAAAATTTCCACAGAGCAGCAGAATGAGGAATTGTATTTCCCTCATTTACTATATCTTCTGCATCAGTTACTATCATCATTATTTTATTTAACAACATAATGATGTCTTCATCTGTCAAATACTGGAAGTCAAGTTCACATGCATCNCGTAATTCGAAGCTTTTTTCAAAATGTGAGAAATTCGCGAATTTTGAAATTTATTTATAGAATACGCGAATTTCTCGCAGTAATAATTTTTTAATGCGAGAAAAGAAAAAAATATGCGAGATTCTCGCGTTCTCGCGCTGTAGTGAAAACACTGTATCATCATTATTTTATTTAACAACATAATGATGTCTTCATCTGTCAAATACTGGAAGTCAAGTTCACATGCATCACTTTGAAAAAAAATCTACAAAATTTTCTTCGCCAAGAATTTTGAAACCTCAGATTTCTTTTGCTTGTTAGAGAATACTGAAATCGTATTTTTCTTGAACATCTGAAGAAGATTGTTCATCAAGCGACATGATCTTTCTCCAAGATCGAGATAAAGTAGACGATTTTACCAAAGACCAAGCTGCTGATATTCCATATACTTCAATCCAATAATAAATATTGCTTCCAAAAATTTGGTAGTGTTACAACTTCATGAATAAGATCTTTTTAATCTTGAAAATGTTTCTCTTTATATTTTTCATGTGACTCCGGAATGAGCACAGATAATCCGTGCACGGATAATCTGTACTGTAATTTGAAAAGTAATTGTACTACATCTTAATGATCTCTAATTAGTAACATTAAAAAATAAAAAGACAAAGAAATTTAAAATTTTGAAAATTTATGCCAATTATTTTATAAATAATTGAACTAAGAAAATTAAAAACTAAATTTTTTAAAAAAAAAATGACAGGGAAAACAGTTATAAGCTATGGAGTATTCAGTCTAATTTTAAATAAATATTTTTTTAATTGCTTACAATAATTTTTAATTGTAAAATACTGTTAGCATAATTTTAAAAACTTAAGTCACCGCATTCGAATGACAGATTTCCTTCAACCAGATATTCGACACCAGAATGCTCAGTCATTCCACTTTTTTGTTTTACAATATATTTTTTTTAAATTAGCCTAGCAAATACAAAAAAACTACTTGTGGTTACAATTACAGCTTTTTATCTTATAAAGAAAAGGCTTCTTCCAAGTAAGGACAATTTATAAGGTCAGGGGTCTGTCCAGATCGAATTTACTACCGTTTAGCGGTACCTTCACAAATTCAACTTCAGGAAAAAAGGGTAGTTTCACAAAATACTTTTTCTTAAAATTTTTTTGTATTCCTTAAGAAATGATAAATCTATATTCTTGCCATATTTTTGTGTTGGATTTTTATATATATTTTTTAATTTTTCACAAATTATGTCTAAATTTTTACAAAATAGGTACCTCTCAGAAAAACCTAGACAGACCCCTGACCTTGGTGTAGACGAAAGACTTAATCTTAACATGTATAATCATTCCATTAATAATTTCCAAGAATCTTTTGTTTTACTGAAGAGAACTAAGTTCATTAAGAGAAGTATAAACAAACAGATCTAAAGTTTATCTACTTCAAAATTTTAAAAGAAAATTAAGTACCTCAACTGCTTCTTCATCATCATCCTCATCACTGTCTCCAGACTCCTCTTCCTCAGCCTCTTGAAGCCATTTAATAAAAGGTTTTGCCTTATCATGAATTTCTTGAGCTACATCCTTATTTACATATTTTTTGGACACCTACAAGAATAAAAAATAACTTTAACACAGTCACTTAACATTGTTGCTGAGAGAAAAAAATTTTATCCACATAAACTATTTATTACATAAATTCAAAGTTATGCCCTTTCTGATATGAGGAATCCAGTGGTTTTGGTTACATAAAAAGGAGATATTAAAGAAGATGACAATTGAATAAAATACTAAATTGGTCTATTTAAGCTCAAAATTGATGCTATAATCCAAATAAAGTTTCTTTTAGTTAACATGAGCCCTATGATAAATGTTACCATACAAAATGCTGAAGAGTTTATTGGCCAAAAAAGAATCTGTATAATTATATTTACTACTTGCTAATGAAATGTAAGACTTTTGTATCGATTAACAAAATTTTTTCACTTAAATTAGGTAACAAAAAGAATACTATGCTGTGTTTAGAGCTGAAATACAAAGTAGACAATTTTTACCTTCTGCGACCAATCTATTAACACTTCTTCCTCCAAAATGTCAGTATCATAAAATGCTTTCAAAATGTGTGGAACCTTGACAATTAAGTTATCTTTATGCAAATTGATTACTTGTTCCAATCCACCCATCAAATATTTTTGGGCTTTTTGACTCCCATGGGTAAACTAAAGAAAGAAAAAAACATTTAGCACTCACCCAAGCAAATTAACTCTTAATAACAACCAAAATAACACTAAAAATAAAAACTTACTCTTAAAAACAAAAGTCTGTGAGTTTTAACTTCTTGAATGATGTGCTCCCCAAGCAACAATTCACACAAGACTAACACAGCCTTATCTTTAATATCAAGTCTCTCAGCCTCACCAACCAATTCTTTTTGCAGGTTTTCAATGGTTCCAGTTTCTTTATGTTTCTAAAAAAAACACAAAGGAAATTAAATTTTAACCTCTCAAAAGATTTTATTTATTTTTTTACTTAAAGAATTAAAATCATTATTGAGGATGAATATCAGAGATTTAGAAAAATATGGGAAATGTTGCTGCATAATTCATTAGAATGCTTCATCACATAAATTAGTGGCATTAGTGCTAAACCATATCTCTACCTAAAAAGTTATGAATGGACCTGCACCATTTTTAGTTCATTTTCTGAGGTTTCACAATGTAATAGTTAAAAGCACCACACTTAATTAAATTCTTAAACCACTTAACTAAAGATTCTTTCCAAGTTGAACATGAAATTTTAAAATGTACAGAATTTATAAATTCTCAAAAGCCCACTATTTAATGAATATGTTATTGAATGCTGTTATTACTACTAAGCTTAACAACAGCAATTACAAAAATGTTTCACAATTACTATTTAAAGACAGTAAGAAGTGTTTAAAATACCGAGAATGAAACAGCCCAGATTTATCAGGACGTGTGTACTTTCATATATATCTACATATACATATATAGCACAATAAAAACAAAAAGGATAAAAAGAAAAAAGAAAATTAAAAAGTTATTTTGTTTTTAATATTTTTTAAAAATATTTTACTTAAATAATCTTTCTTCTTCTCTTTTCTTAAATCCATTATTTTTTATGTTTTCTCTCTATTTTTAACTTTATAATATATATAAAATGGTATATCAATTGTACCTTAACAAATTCATAGAATAAATCTAGTCTTTCTTGGGGGGATTTTTCTAAATCATCATTGAGCATTAGAGTTTTAGCTCCGGTTGTTAAACTCTCCATGCGCCTAGCTACAGATTCAGCATCAGTGCCGTCACACCAATCATCATCGTCATCCTATAAAATGAAAGTTTTATTTATTATCTTCATGATAATCAGAATTCAATTTCCATAACAAATTTCCTTAGTAGAATCTATTCCTAACTTTCACAACACCACCAAAACCATAGATATGTATACAAAGGTTTAGCTAATATAATAGAACAATTTGCTACTACTGAATTCACGATCATATTGGTAAATTAGAAATATAGGCTTTAAACATTTTTGAGATAAAAATCTCACACATTATACAAACTATTATAAAAGCTTCAAAGGAAAGATTTCTAATTATTCCAATATTTATTTACAATGTCCAATTATTCTATAATTTCCAATAATTGTCACTGAAATGTCCCCTTATTAGCATTGAACCACTATCTTAAAACATATTTTAAGTGAAAAACCAATTCAATAATTTATTCCCTACTAGTCTTAAAGCAAGAGATATTGGAAAAACGCTACGTTAGCGGATCCAGATTATTTTTTACTAAATAAGGTACAAAAAACTCATTAAAGCCATTAATACTAAAATTTTAATGGTTTCAGAAAATAAAATGGAAGAAGAAAAAAAAAGAACTTTACGCCTCTAGAATATTGAAGTTTATTTTAATGGCAAAAAAAAGCCCAGGTACGGAATTATTAAAAAATAAAAACAGTTTTTATTTTTCTGATGATTTTGCTTGAGTTTCTTTTCTAAATTTGTTATTTGTATTTCCTGTTTTTTCCTGGACTTCAATACAAAACCATCGGGGTACTGTGGGAGTTAATTTAGGCATTTGCTTCTCCCTCAATTAGAAATGGCTTTGTTCTTTGGCTACCGGGGCCGGTACCCCCTGAAGACGTCGGCTTCGGTGCTCATATTTTTATTTCCTTCATTTCCATTACTCCTAAATAATACATTTCTCTATAGTTTTTAAAGCATAGTGAGTGACTGACGTAATATTTTTTTAAAAAAACTTATGCATAAAAATTTTGTTGTTACTCTTACAGATTCTCCTTACTAGTCGAATTCTCCGGATTCTGTTTTGACAAGAAAAAAAGCTATGTCAATTTTCTTCAGATAAGACCAGTGGGCCAAAATACAGCGAAAAGGACTTTTTAGAGGGGATTATTCGAACTGAAATTTAGTAGAAATTTTTTTGAATCACAAAAATATTGCTATATACAAAAATATAAAAGAGTTTCTTATAAAAACCTAGCTATGCTGGAACGGATTTAACATTGTACCAAGTATAACTGATTTTAAAACAAAAGGTGCCAAGTAGTATACCTTTTCTGGTGATCCATTCTCCATGTCTGAATCATGATTTGGACTATGGGAACCACTATCATCACCATTCTGTTGCTTTTTGGGAGTTTTCTCATCCTTACTTTTTCTTTTGCCTTTCTTGGTTGAACCAGTGGTTTTAGTTGGATCCTGAAACACATCCAATAGTTGTAAAAAAAAAAATTTCTTTTTTTTCTTCTTTTTTTGAAAAAAAGAGAGCACTTCAGGGTCAGAATAACTTCAGAGATCAAATTATTAAGTGTTTTTTACCCTTTCAAGCAAATACAAATCAATCACTGCAATATTTAAACAAGAAAATAGAATTCTAAATTATAAACCAAACCCATAAAAGTGTTTTTAAGTTAAACTGATATTGTAAAAAATATCTTCCTATTTTAAAAATATGTAAGAAGTTAATTTGAAGTAAAAACTTTTAAATTAAGAGGGGACTGCGATATTTCAAGCAATTAAATTTTTACTTGAAATTCCCCCCCTCCTTAGCTATTTCACATAACTTAGAAGTGTAGCTGGAGTTTTTCTGTTATGATTAAGAGAGCATTTTGCCATTGGCAAGGTCCTGTAACCACTAATGCACTCAATATTTGTTAGGCACTAAGCTTAAAGTTAAGAATATTTTCTTGAAAAATCTAAAATTCCATTAAATTTTAAAATGCATGTAACAATGCACATTAAAAAAAAAAACTTAAACAATTCTTGTTTTCAACTATTTTATGATTTATTTCCAATGAATTTGCTTCAATTTACTACTAATTCGAAAACTGCTTAAACATTATCTTTAAAAATTGGATTTATATTTTAGGTAAAGTGGGATAATTTTCCTTAGGAAAAAAAAAACATAATACAAGTAATTCCAGATAGAATTCATACATTTACAAGAAGCAAGTCTACAAGATTAAAGACTTTAATACAGCTAGAGAAAACAAGATTTATTATTGCAGAACTTACTATCCTTAACAATTAAAATTAAAAAACCTAATCCATTTTTAAACACATTCAAACTTTCTATCTAAAGATTAAATATCCCATTAAAAGATTAATATTCCATTAAATTAATTTCTCACATACAAAGAAAATGTTAAATTAGTCAGATCAGGGTCTTCATGGATCATCTCAATGTCTTCAGGATTGAATTTTAAAAATTAAAATAAATAATATACGCACACAATTTGAGTAGGATACATAAAATTATAAGAAAATGTACTCACTTGTCCAGGTGGATTTTTAAGAATAAATGTAGTTAACTTGTGAGTCGAGTCAAGTTGTCCACTATAACCACAAGCAATGCATTTTGTGTTTATCACACCTTTCTTCGGGAGGACATTCTACATTTAAAAAAAGGAGGCATTAATTAAACAGACAACACATAAATCTTAAGCATTTATATATTCACAACATAAGATCGATGGTAAAATAATGAACTTATATATGAATAAATGAATCTTAAAAAAAAAAACTAGCAATGTTTTATACTATTAATTATTCATAAACAAAGCAAAAAGCTTAGGAAAACAAAAAACATCAACAAAAAAAAATTTTCAACTTTAATTTTATGTTTCTTATGTGCTCAATTATATCGAAAGTTTGCATACGGAAAACTTTTTTTTTTTTGTGTTATGATATCCAACTTAAGAGACTAATTAAGAAAAAAACAAGGTGAGCAGCCAGATTTTTCAAACAAAAAAATAGACACCTTTTAAGTACTTTAAGCACTCAGAAAATATTTTTAATCACTTTCCAAAAAAAAAATCAATTAGGATCTGTGCAGTTATAAAATTTTTTTATTTAGTTTAAAAATCTTAATTTGTAAACATAAAATCGATAAAATTATTCAAAAATTTTGCATAATCATGATAAAATAACTAGTTTCCGATAAAAATTAGAGAAAATTGCAAACATTTTTGTAATACAGAAAGACAATCAATACGGCAAAGAAAAAATCTCGTTTTAAAGGATAGAAAATTAAGCACTTTTTACAAACTTCGAATAAAAAAAAGTATTTTTATGGGCTGTTAAAAAATGTCATTCAAAAACAAGCACATTTAAGCACTTTTTAAAAATGCTACACAACCTAACAAAATAATCGCTCTTTTAGTTCATTAAAATTTATAACAAGGCAGCAGTTTATAAGAAAATTATTTAAGTTACTTACCAAAACAGTTTCCGGATTGTCACAAGAAGGACACAAAACAAATTTCTTGATAAACCCATCCAAGAGATCCTGTAGCTTTGCAGCTTCGTGAGAACCATTAACAATATAACGCTCATTTTTCAAGTCAAACTGTGTTTGAGCACCAAGTTCGCATCCAAAATATTTGGTTGGGTCTAAAATAAAATTAAAATAAGTGTTTTTATACAGGAAAAAATCATTAAGTTTCAAAGGCTAAGCAGTCAACAAAAATTCTACACATGTGTCGATTTGATGTCAAATAATACCTCATAAATAACAATGCATTTTATCATGTTAAAATATTATTAAAACAAAATAATTGTTTTGCTTTTTTAACAAAACTGATTTTGTAACAAATTAATCTTAAGCAATCTAGAATTCTAAATTTTTAAAAAGCAACAAATTAGGTTTTTTTCTTTTGCTGTTTCAAGAGTTACAGAATGAAAACTTTCAGGAAAAAAAATATATAAATTAAGCATGGAGCTAATAGTGAGTTGAAAAAAGTTAAATAGTTAATAAAGTCAGTCAAGTACTTATACTAAGAAATTAAATTTATTAACTACAGAAATGAGAACTTACATGTTGGAGGTCTATTCAAGGCCTTAGCTACTTCAACCATATTTACCACTACAGTCTTAATGCCATTGCCCTTTCCTTCCACCTATATCAAATATTCAAAATTAATAAATAAAAATCTAAAACAAGAACTACAAAAATATTAAAGCAAAGGATAAGATTATAAACTCATCACTAAAATAGAAGTCTTCCAATTATTTTAAAACGAATTTTTTTTTTTCATTATTTACCTAAATGGAGAAATTTGAGAACATATGGGTAAACAGGAGATAGTCGTAAAATACAGGAGTTTTTGTTAAAAAACAGCAGGTATGAGTTTATTTAATCTGGAAGCATTTTTACATGGCTAACGTTTCAACCGATGTTTAATTGCCAGTTTTAAAATATAGTTAATTTTTCCGATCTGATAATGCAAGATAATCATGAATTTTTTCAAAAATAATTTTAGTTGTTGTTTGAATTAAATTTGATTTAGGATATATTCAATAAAATTATATAAATTCTACTATCTAAATTTAATTTTATTTAAATTCCTGAGCTGACACTATCATGTATTAATATAATACTATTTCATATTTAGAGTTTTATGCAATGATTCTGGCAAAATCATGATTCTTACTGACTCATGGCTCGAAAAAAATTACGGGTAATAATAATTATTTAAATGAGGAATTTTTGATTGAATAGTTAACTTAAAGGAAAGTTTTAACTCATGTAAAGTAAAGTGAATATGCTTCTGCAATAAACAGCTTTTGAGTACACACATGAAAGGCTTGGGACGAGATGACAAGCCACATTTTCAATCAATTTCAATGACAAGACAATATGACAAGCCACATTGTTCAGGACAGGATTTTTTCCAAACAGGAAATAAGATGTTTCTGTATATCCTGCTGCCAACAAGTAATTTAAATAATAAAATTTTGAAAACAAAACTAAAGAACAATTTTGATTAAAGAACTTCGCTTAAGAAAATTGGCTTATCACCACATCGTCATCCTCTTCAGTCTTTCATACAAAAGTATATAATAAATTACATATTACTTAAAAGTTGCAATAATAAATTATAAATAATGAGAGAGAAAACATAATTACCTTGGCAAGGAGCTTTGGCATCTTATAGCGGTAAAATTGGTCAGAAAGACTACGATTGACGTTGATGTTACTCATGATTAAAACTGAAATTAATTAGTGGAGGGATCAAAAAGCTTTTTTAGAATGTGGGTAGAGAAAGAAGTGCAAGAAACTGGCCTGCCAGATTCCCTGCTTGCTGTCAAGAACAGATTGCTGGGAGATGAGGCTGAGGAGATGGAAAGTCACGATCTGAATGGCCGTAATTTTTGATGGTTACAAAGCACCCTAAAACATGACCCATACATTCAGAAAAACATTCTCTAACATGCTGGACAACAAAAATTATTTTATTATTTCACTAGATACACTTCCAAGAGAAAATTTAAAAAAAGTTAATATTTAAAGCACTGAAACAAAACAAAATATTCCACTTGTTGGCCCCTGTAATATTTTTTAGTTTATCATTACTAGTTATCAAAACATTATTAAAGTTGAATGTTACCCATGGAACTATTTAGTTGATATTTCCTCGAGAATACAATTTTATGGCTCCTTAATTTTCAGCTTTTTATTTCAATTTTGCAAACAATTCTTTGATATTTTTTTCATTAATTTATTAACATTTTCAACTGATTATCAAAGTATTAAATGTTTAACTTGAATTAAAATTTTATAATATGGTTAATCCCTAAATTAAACATTTTATGAAAATTTAGAAAATATTGAATATTAATCAAAGTATAAGACATTTAACGGGACATAAAGCTCTACACATTTTTTATTATATTTCAATAATTTGGTAAATTAAGGGTTAGTATAGTTAAAAGTTTTAAAGCAATCTATTTTAACATAATATTTAACTCAAAAAAGTTTGAATTTTAATGAGGTTAAAGATCTTCAATAATAAAAGCAAATTAACAATGAGCATTAAATTTAAAATATAAAAACAATTTAAGGAGTAATATTACATAAAACTGATACTTCAGATATAATTGAAAGTGTAACTTCTAAAAATTTGAAGTCTATGAGTATCAAAAAACAATTACAGCAATCACTTTTTAAAAAAATTTTTAAACAATTTTGTAAATAATTATATTTACAAAATAATTTTAAAAAAATTTTAACAATTCATATAATGACTAACATATATATTACAATCATTCACCATTGATATATTTAGGAATAGAATTTAGTTTTCAATTATTGTATTCTTATTTCCATTAAGGCACTTTTTTACTTTACAACACAAACAAAATGGAATATTCATGTCAGGTAAATTCAAAGAGTATTACAGCCAGAGTCACTGACCTTAATTTTTATAGTTAGCAGTAAAGTGACCGTTGTTTAATTGTCTAATTTTTTCAGTGTCCTGTTGCGCAATCAAAATATGGTCTATGGATTATAAAGCTACGATAGAGCGAGAGGAGCTAAGGAAAGACCTTTCAAATTCTAAATGTGATTACCTAGTCTGGAATCCACTCAGATATTTTAAGGTTAACTATTTGCTTAGATGTTTTTTAATCTGGCTGCAATTTCACGATAAATTAAGAATTTTAAAATTTATTTAGATGTGATGAACAGAATCTTAGTATGTCTGCTGTGTGACTATAATTTTTAATTAGAGACATACTGCGTTCTGAAAAGAGCCCTAGAATGTTGACTTTGCTGTGTTAAGTGAATCTGTTGTATGTGAAAGGATTTAATGAGTGGAGTTAAATTTTTATTGCTGTGCATCTGCTAAAGCAATGATTAAAGATTGGTATAATTTTAAGTGTTTTGAAGAAATAGTATCCACGCTATATAAATGAGTAAGTGTTTATTAATGGGGCTCACGTCAGTATGATGACAATTGTCGCTGTACTGACAATGTTCAACGAATGTAGCTAAGATCATATCGCTGCTTTAAAACTAAAACGACACATCTGCAGGCATTACACGTTTGCAAGATGTGTCGTTTTAGTTTTGAACCAGCGATATGTACGGAAGAAAGAATTGTCGCCTTGGGAGTTACAAAATAGTAACGAAAGTAGTTTTTTCTTTGAATTGAAATTTATGCATTTACATCATTCATTACTTAATGAAATTGGCCTATAAATTAAAACACAACTTTAGACTTCATACTAAATCAGGGGTCTGTCCAGGACAAATTTACTGCCGTTTAGCAATACCTTTACAAATTTAACTTTAGGAAAAACGGTAGTTTCACAAAATACTTTTTCTTAAAATTTTATTTTTGTATCTATTAAGAAATGATAAATCCATATTTTTGTGTTGATTTTTTAATATAAGTTTTAATTTTCACAAATTATGTCTAAATTTTCACAAAATAGGTACCTCTCAGAAAAACCTAGACAGACCCCTATAAATTTATAACACTTCATTAGACTTTCGAAAGACTTGAAACAAAAGAAATAAGTTAAACAAGAAAAATAAATACAACAAGGATTAATATGATTGATACATTAATTCATGTGGCAAAAAAATTAAAATCTATGAAGACTAATAAATTTACTTACTGTTAGGCAGGAGTATTAAATTTCCCCTACAAGAGCCAAAAATGGATAAAATTCATTAAAATAAAATATTTATCCGTGATGGGTACCTTTGTATTAGAACAATTTTTTTATTTGCCAAATAAAAAATTCAAAATCAAAAAAATTCAAAATCTGGTTAAATGGAATAACTACAATGAGGCAAATAGAAAAACACACCAATTTCTAATACACAAGCACCACTATTTAAAAACACCCACACATACAAACTTAAAATTTGAAGCCAACACTTTTCAAAATCTGAATAATTACAAATGCATCTAAATATAAAAAACTTCAAACTACTTTTAGCTCTTTAAACTTATAAAATATTAAGTTAATTTAAACCGGATCCAATAACCATCTAGATATTTATTCTTTCAATTGAAATTATTAAAGACTTGTGGGTATGGTATCTAATTTTTTAATTCAGCTTTTTTTGGATATATTATTTTGGCACCAAATCAAAAAAGACCAAGGCTAAGATTTGATTTTTCTTTATCTTATTGCATTTTGTAAAGAGTCTGATAATTCACATCAGCTCTAATTTTTTTTTTAATAATCTACATTATCTCAGAAATAAACTAAAAGTTTTAAAAACTTAATACCCATTGTTGTAGGTAACTAATTACTTCATTGAATGTCTATACATATTTTTTGGAAACGAAATTACAATTGCAATTACCAAACTTAAAATTCTTGCTTATATAGTAATCCATCAAAAAAAAATTTAATTACCTTACAGCTTGCCAATTGATGTCCCACTGCTTTCGGCAATGCATAAACCTTTGTAATCCTATATTCGTCAAACTAGATGACACAAGAATGTCTTCTTGATAGTGAGCTGGATTTCCACGACCTAAGTGTTCTGAAAATTATAGAAAAAGTAAAAATAAAAATATGAAGTTAAGTACTTGAGTACTTAAGTCATCAATTTAAAAAATGATGTTTTGTGCTTAATGGTAAAACAACAAGTTCTAAAGTTATATTGTTAAATCTACCTCATAACTTTCAATCCTTAATAGGGCTAGGCGGCAAATTTAGCCTAGTTATCATTAACAGATGTGCATAATATAAATTAACACAATCCACGTCAAATTTGTTACCATCCACCACAGAAAAATTTATATCACTTATTATAATTAAGCAAAAACAGTCTTAGATTTTAGATATACATACCAGTCAACATTGGAGAAATAAAATAACGGAGATTTTACTAGCGACATTTTGACTATGCATAAAGTTCTGATACATCATTCATAATTTTGTAAGTCAGAAATAGAAATTCAAAATTTGAAATAATATAAGCACTTACATTTAGCAAATTAAAAAATATGTATATAAATCTTAATCTAATGAAAAATTTTTAAACCATTATTTATTCAAACTATAAACACTCAACATACTGCAGATATATTACTATTACATATAATAATTTTCATAAAAACTATTACATTTTCAAAAAATATAAATTTTTGAGCGAATTCCCTCAAAATTAGGTTTTGACAAAAGGGTTGAAACTAATTACAAGAAAATCATCAATTAATTGCTTACAAAAAGCTTTAAAATTCAGATTTTTAATTTGCAGAAAGTTTATATATCATAAAACTTATTTCAAATTATTTAAGCTATACATTTTAAGTTTAAGATATATTAGCACTTTTTAGCTGAAGAAAAAAAAGAAATATATAAATTTTTTGAAATATCCTTTATGACATACTAGTTAGTCTGCTTAAAACTTATATTAACCATTTAGATATTTTTTAAGTATATATGTTCAGTTACAAGAAATTAAATTTTGCCTACTAAGTTATATCATGAAATTTTCTTATATTTTTTTTTTTTCATTAAGAATACTTTTAAAGTAAGAAATACAGCAAGTTTAATTATTATGAAACTTAAAAATGATTGTATGAATTAATTATCATTTATAAGTTACAAAATTTAATATTAACCAACAGTTTAATTACTTCTGCTTAAATAATTAACAGTTTAATTTTATTTGAATATTAGATAAGAATGTTAAAAAAATAACTAAAATAACTTAAATATCTGGATGGATATTTCTGGATGGATTCTGGATGGTATTCAATAAAAATATACACATTTCCATAAAGTTTAAATTTAATAGATCTTAATTAATATGCATATTCTAGACTTTTTCCTAAAAAAAAATCTAGTAAGACTTTTTACTAAAAAAATCTAATAAGAATTTTTTCCTAAAAAAAATCCAGTAAGAATTTTTTCCTAAAAAAAAATCTAGTAAGACTTTTTGTGGCAATAACTTTATTGATCGACTCGTATTTAATCTTGAGATTTGACAAGATCAACAGTTTCAAGTAACCATATCTACTGACTGTATTCACACCTGTCAACTGATATGAAAAACAAGTGTACATTTTTTTCCTTCTTAAACCTATCACCTTTATTTCTAGTTCATTGGCTAAAATAGACCTCTTTGATTTTTAATGCTTGTAGACTGTTTTCAATACTATATATTTATAACTTTTCAACTTTATAATTGTATTTTTAATAAAAACATACTGCATTACAACATTCAGTTGCGTGGTATTACTATTCATTTACCTATTTATTTGATTGTGTAAGCATACTGAGTATGCATAAAACGAGATATGAAATAGACCTATTCCTGGGGTGATTGTGAGCCCAAGTCAAAATTCCGGAAAATTTCTTGAGTTAAAATAAAAAATAATTAAAAAAAAGTTTAAATTGAAAAAAATCTATTTTCCTTTTTCTCAATATTTCTCAGTTGACTTAAAATATATTTAAAATTACACATACCTATGAGGACCAGGAGAAATAATTAAAATTTACAAATATGTCTCTTTCTCGAGTTTATGATTATAATAACTATTTACTGATAAAAAATTAATATTAATCATGAAAGTTTATAAAGTATCTTTCTGGCTCTCCCTTACAAACAAATAAAATTAACCGCGTTTTAAAGTTCGACCTTTGAAAATTTGATTTCCGGAAACTTCTATGATCAATGATTTTTTTAAACGTCTGGACCTTCGATCTCCGAAAACTTCCGGAGCACAATCAGCCCTGCTATTCTTAAAGACTTTTTCTAACTTATATATCATAACTATTAAACTAATTACAGCTAAAAACTGAAGTACAGCATTTCAAACATAAAGGCAACTTTTAATTGTGGAAAAAAACCAGCCTCGAAGAAATAGGTTTATTCCACCTCAAGTCTCAAGTTGTAGAATTAGAAAAAAAAATTTCAAAACATGATCAAATATTATAAATTTTTTCATTTCATAATTTTAATTTAGTAAAAATAATAGTATTTATTACCAACCTATTAAAACCTAATTTTAATACCAAGATAGATTGCATCATTTAATAAAAAGTTTCTAAGACAATGTTTGATCTGTGATTGTTTTAAGAGATCATGACTTAAATTTTGAGAGCTAAGATGTAGATATTAAAGAATCTTGTAAACAAATTCTCATTTTAATAAACAAAATATTAAGATGTGATTATGGCAGCCTGTCAAATTTGACCAAGACTGACAGAAGAAAAAAATTTTTAGGCTAAAAAAATTTAGCTTTAATAATGTTGTAAATTTACTACAAATCTGTACTAATACAGACTAGTTCTTACGTTCAAAAAATTTAAAAACTCCATTTTCTTTGAAGGACTTGGATTTTGATGAGTACTAGGTTGGATTTAAATCTCTAAAAGAGACTAAGATAAATAATTATCTGTGATTTCCCTCAAAAAGAGACTAAGATAACTATCTGTGATTTCCCTCAAGAAGAAACTAAGATAACTATCTGTGATTTCCCTCAAAAAGAGACTAAAATAAATATTTATAGATGAATCTTTGAGCCTTTATAAATTATCTGAAACCTACAAAATTTTCAAAGTTAAACACAAGATTGTTTATATAAAAGTGTTGGAAAAGTTAAACGCATACGTTGGAGTCCTAAACTTTTTTCCAATATCAGTTATTAAAGGCACTAAATTACAACTGAAACCTACAAGATAAGACATTTTAAGATGCTCTTAGTCAAAACAGACACTCTACTTGCAGTTAAGATTATCAGAAACTTTAATTCTTAAAAAAACTTGAATAATCTAATTAAGTAATTTTCACTAATAATTTAAACAAAAGAATAAGAAATTTATTCATTAAACATAACACATAGTCTACAATATTCAAATAGTAAAGAAAATAAATCATTAACTGCTAAAAGAATATTCTTAAAAAATCTCTTTTTTTATTAATTAACAATCTTCAATATAATCAAGAGTAAAATGCAAATGCACAAACAATATGAAGTTGAAACATATGACTAAATGTAAACATATAATCAATAGTAAATATCCTCAATAAGATGAACTTATTTTAATACATCAGATAAGATTGAATGCGACCTAAATTAAGCAACAAAATTAACGACCACTATATTATAAAATTTAAGAGTAATTAATTTAAGAATAATAATTTGAAGGATAATTAATCTGGGTTAAAAATCTCAAGTTATAAGTTTTTCCTTTAATTGACTTTATTATTTAATATTAATTATATATTTATTACCCCTCATTTTATTATTAAAATTTTTAATTCAATCAAATTGTAAAGGTTTAATTTCATTTGTATTTATATTTATAACTTTAAATAGGTGGCATTTAATATGTCCTAGTTTCTTAAAATAAATATTTGCATCTAACACTAACTTAATAGCTAAGAAATCCAGTTAAATTAATTATTAAAAACGATAATAAATTGTTCAAACAATATTTAAAATTATTACATATTGAATATATTTCCTCATTTCCGAGTACTTGAAGAGGAAATGCTTGAAAAAGGGAGATAAGAATAGAACATATGCTTTACAAAAAGGTCACGTCAACAAAGTGTATTGATTAAAATACCAATGAGGAGGATTCTTTTAAACAGTTTCTATTTATAAAAATAAAATTGGAAAATTTTAAAACTCAAAAAATTGCTACGATATAAAAATTCATCGCTCATGCCCACGTGTCACGATCAGGCTAGAACGAGAACTTATCAAACGGACGGTGGGAAAAATATCAAGGCTATTTAGGGCATTTTTTCCCTTCAGGCTTCTCTATAACAAGCTACAGTCATATATTGACCATTTGAGTTTAAAAAGAAAACAGTTCGAAATAATTATAACTTACCGATCAAACAAAATGAAGACGTCATATAAAACTGTGAATCTACGCAAATTTATCGATAAAATAACAGTAGCAGATATGGCGTCAACTGCTCTGTCGCAGTAAGATCCCTGAAATTACAAAAACAAAGAAATCAAAAATTAGTCGAAATAGAAATGGTTAAATTTTTGAAGTATAAATTCCAAAATTTCAATTTTTATACACAAAATTATTAATTGGAATTTAGTTATGCGTTGTAACAGCTAATTAATTTTGAACAACCTACCCCTAAAATGGAGAAAATGGAAATGATACAATCATGCGCAGAAGGGAATCATTTCGCGTGCTGGAGGAAGTAGTGCCAACTTTCCTAGAAAAAAAATGAAAAATATTTATAGGAGAAAAGCATTTGTCAAATTTAAATTTTCTAAATAAAACGGGGTGGTCAAGCTGTCTGTGCGACAAAATACCACAACCAATCATTTCTCATATTTCCTAAGGAGCAATCGGAGGTATGGCAACCGTATTCGGCGAGAATATGCTCCATTTAACGTACTTTTCTTAGATTAAAATATAAATAATTATATCAAGCATGTGTGTCTGGTTTGAAGTTGTTAAAACTTTTCATTGAGAACTATCAACTGTGTTCTCCAAGTGCTCTTCATTTAACTCAATCCTAAGGTGAACAGTGTCCTTAGAAAACTAAAAAGCTGGAAGTAAAATTTCTAAAAGAGAGCTCCAAAACTCACCACTTTACCATTCCAAATTATTTTTTAAAAAAATCTGTTGGAGAATTTTTACGAAGAATTTCTGTTTTTCACCAAGATAACAGATTCCATTATTTCATTTCTCCTAACGAGTATATTCTAGGTTCTTTTAGGTGAAAACTTTCCACTTTACTTTCAACCATGCTATGCACAGTGGGAAAATCTAAAGATATTTGTGGATGGATATTTGTTTCTTTTGTCAGAATTCAAACCTAGTAAAATGAAAATTCTCGAATTTAATTGCTAATTGATCAGTTTGAAACACATCAAGCTAAGAATAATAAGAGGTAGAATTTTAAAATTCTTTCTACATTTACACAAATGTTAACACTGAGCCCTGATTCAAAAGAGCTCCCGAAAATTATTTTTCGCTAATTTCATGCTATATGGTCATGTTATATCTTTCTCTATGGAATGCCAGGCCTGGGTGGGCCCTGAGCTTCTCGAAGAGTCTTTTCCAAGTCCAGGCGTAGGCGTCTTTCCGTTAAACAACTTCCTACCAATTTTTGGTTTTCGAAATGTTCATATCTTTTTCGAGACAATCGATCCATCTCACTGAAGCAAGATCTGCCTCTTAGTTTAGTTCCAATAGGTTTGGCTAGAAATAGTTTCAGGTTGTTTCGATCTTCCAGCATTGTAACCAGATGCCCAACCTTTATTATTTTTCTAGATTTTTACGTATTTCACGTCATCAAGCTCTTTAAAGATTTTATATAACTCTAAAAATTTTTCACCTTCGCCATAAGCCGTCGACCTGATGTTTGCTAATACTTCTTATCCTTTTGTACTAAAACATTAATTTTTTGGAAACCTTTTGGGGTTGTAAAGTGGGATCAAATTAGTACTACGTATTTTTTAAGCAATTTCGCAACCAATTTTTTTTCTTCTTATCCTTACCACATTAACATTTGTGCATAATATTGTTCAGTAAATCGTGCTCATTTTTTCATTTATTTATTTTTATTGTAAAATGGTTTTGCAAATAACCAAAATTGTGAACAATAGGTATTTCAAGTAAAGAAAACTCCCAAGCAGCTCTTGAGAAGAAAAAAACACTATGACCACCAGTTTAGTTCAATTGGGCTTATGCCCTGAAAAAGGAGTCACTGGACCGCATTTTCAAAAACGAAAAGGACATTGATGAAGAATGCTGCACAAACGTGATCTTGATTTTTATTATTATAATTATTATTTTGACATGATTTGTGGACATTTGGCTTCAACAGTACAGTAAGCTGCAACATACTTTCTATTAAAAGAAAAAAAATCAACTTTTGAAATACAGTCGAACCTCGTTACAACGTGAACACGCTTAACATGAATTTCCTTTAACGTGAACATTCGAGTCCCCGTCAAATTGTATACAGACATTAGACATAATACTTTAATGTACTTTTAACATGAAATATCTCTTAAGATAAACTAGAATTTCATTACCGTTGGGACAATTTATTTCCCCTCTGACAGGTAAGAAAACTGATCATCCACAATCTATAAGAGTAGGTTTTTTGAATGCTTTGTTATTATGATTATAATTGCAACATTACAGCAGTCAAATGAAGGAGTTGTATTTATTGAATCTGTTGAGGGGGTGAGGCATTACAAGAAACAACACAAGTCCTCTAAATACAAATAGAGTTTCCTTTCACGTCATGGGATGTCCCATGGGTGTGAATGTAACGAAGCATATTTATTTGAGAAATGACCATCCATATTGAAGCTTAATTTAATACGGGTAGTCATTTCTCCAACACCTTCACAATTTGTTCTAAGAAATCGATATTGAATTTCTACAAGTGACCACGTGAGAAGCTAAAATTTTTCTTAAATTTTACTAGCGAATACTTTGGTTTACTTTCCATTAATGGAAGCTTACGAAGCAATTAAAACTGTTCATTATTTTGAAATACAAAATAAAAATTCAAATCAGTTTTGGATACAGCTGACAAGTTTGAATACTTTTGGAATGAATGTGCGAATAAGAAACCAAATCAGTGAGCTATTGTAGACTATTTTGTTAGTAAAATTCTCTGATTTGTGCAATAAATCTGTTTTTTTTTTCTTCCTCTATCATTTCGTTACTTTTCACTAATTCTTTTATTTGCTTCTACGGAAGAAAAAAAGAGCAGAAAGTAAATACACTTCTTTGAAATTCGTCAGAACAAATTGATTTTCCCTCCTTCATAACTTAACTTTTTAAAAAAAAAGAAATTGGTTGTATTTATTATGAGATGTACAGAAGCGATTAATTTAAAGCGCAAAACAAAAAACATTTATTGAAATGAACTTTATATTAATTTACATATATATAATAGAAATTTAACACAACTATATAGATAATAGAAAATGTGCGCGCATTGTACGATTTTCATCAAAAAATTTATGAACTGATGACGTGAATTACTTTTAACGTGAACAAATTTTCTGTCTCCCTTCGATTTGACGTTAACCAGGTTTGACTGTATCAGCTTTTTCGAATCGTGTGTGGTCTCAATCGATTAAGTGGGGGGAAAACATACAGGAAACAATACCTCATATTTCTTTATCGCAATATACAATGAGTAAATAAAAGCAAGCACAAATGTGTCACTTTTTATACACAAAACCCTTAAAGACTTTAACAATATCGATTCTTTCTTTCAATTCAGCTTGAAAAATTACATAACAAAAGAACACTTACATGATGCTCAGATAGCTCCTGGATAGCAATATAAAATTGTGAACATAAGCACATATCGAAAGAAATGCTTTTTATACATAATAATCCGTGCAATTTGTGAACTTTTTGTTCTCTTGTGTTGTGTATAGTCTCACTCAATTTAGTATGAAAAAATAGGTCACTTGTTTACATACCAATGTCAGATGCATGAACAGGTACTCACTAGAAATTCCATCGTCTCGGGATCAGTTTTAAATTCAGTGTGAAAAAATGCATCAGAAACAATGCTTCACTTACTTTTCTATATGTAATTCATTTATCCTTCTCAAATTACCCCCATTTCCTTCAAAAAAGGGAGAAGCGTACAGAAAAGAATATAATAATTTTCAGGTACCATTTAAATAACATAAAGCTTTTTATGGAAAGAAATCTTGGGCATTAATTTTTCTGAAGAAAAAGTTCAATTTTACTGGATTCCAAGTCCACATCAATAATATTTTCATTCTGAAATGTTTTTTTTTTTTTTTAAACATTTCAATATTTTACACGCACACACACACCTATATATCTATAGTATATGCGTGTATGTACGTAACCGTTATTACCGGCCAAATATGGCTCTCGCAACGAAAGGGTCAAATATTTATATCATAATTTTAATTCTGCATTTTGGGTAAGATCTCATTTTAATTGTTTTCATTTAAACTTGAAACCGATGATTTGCAGCCCATACAGTCTAAGAAATTCTCTTCCAATAAATTTGAAAACTTAGGTAGCTCTAAAGAGAAAATCAATAATAAAAAAATAAATAAAAGGTTAAAAATCCTTAAAAATGGGATTTTTTACTCCAATCTATGAAGTAAACCTGATTTTTCTCAACTTTAAAATTTTTTCGGTATATATTGTTGATTTATAAATATAATTTTTCTAGAACTCTAGGAATTTGCAATACCTTTTTGACGTTCGTCCCCCCCCCCTATTTAAAGTCTGAACATGAAAAAAGAAAAATGTTTATCTGGATAGACAGGTTTACAACCTTACGTAAAAAATTTCTATTTTATCCGAATTTCGGATGAGTGGTGCCCACATATTAAAAAAAAAATCCCCTAAAAAATAGTTTTTAAGGTTTTCTCTTAATAAATATAAAAGAAATATATGGGCCGGGATAGCCTGGTCGGTAGGGCGCTGGGCCCATGTCCGAATCCCGCCGGCCGAAGACTCACCGTGTAGTAAATGGTGACTGATGCACGTTAAATCTGTCGAGTCTCATAGTCCTCCATGTTCCCATAACAAATCAATACCTCTGGGGGTATTGAATTGGAGATTGATCGTTCTCTGATTCAGGTCAAAATTACGATCTGTGGATGAATGAATGGGTACACCCAATAAACGGGCGTGACGTATGAGTGTGGCAGAAGTCGAATTCTTGGTCATAGATGGCGCCACTGGAAAACAAGAACAATCGCACCCCTCTGCTTTAATGGCATAGGCCAACAACAACAAAAGAAATATATTACTTGTTGATATTTCGCTTACGTGCAATATTAGCGAGTCAAATATACCAAACATCACTGGGGGAACCCAAAAGAGTTATGACGCGTCTACTGGAATGCGTAAAACTATCGCGGAGAAAGAAATAGCGCACCAGCAGACTTAATTACGCAGAATTAAATTAGACTTGGGATTTAAAAAAAACTTACTGAAAAATATAAATTGGAGATTTATATTATTTCAAATAGGAATCCGCGTTCAATTCGAAGAACCCTGAATATTACTGTATCAGGTGTATATCTGAATATTACTCTATCAACTTGTAGGGAAAAAGAACTAACCGACTCTACAGACCGCAACAATGTAACTTCCGAGTTGAAACTCGATGAAAGGGACCATGCTTGCTTATGATCTCAATACAGAGTTTAGTTTTTAAAGTTTAAATTCGTTCGAAAGTTATTGCAATTTTATGAGTTTTTTTATCAATTTTTTTTTTTACTTTACGTTACATATTGTTTTGCAGCACAAAATTTGTAAGACTTAGAAACTCGAATAAAAAAAAAGAGGGTTCAAGGAAATAAAAAAG